GGGATCGAGAGATTGGTCGCGTTCCCCGGAGTATTCCAGCCATCGGTCACGTCGCAAGCGCTCCGATCGATCTCGCTCGGACGCAGATGAGCACAAGTGGCCACGGACGCCGCCAGCATCGATTGATTCGCCCATCAGACCGCGCTCACCCGATGCCATGGACTACGACGATGACGACTCACGATCCCACTACAAAATGCAGGCCACGCGAGGCTATCGACACTCTTCGGAGTCGCTGCATCGAGACCGGGAGGATGAGGAGCGCTCTGGCACGCCCCAGGAACAATTTGAGCCCATTCTCAGCGATGACGAGATCATTGGCGATGACGAAGAGGACGAGTCCGAGGACGTGGCGGCGGCAGCCGAGTACGAGCGTGAGCTGGAGTTTGCCGCCGCCGTTGCCCCGCCAGCCATTGATGCGTTCGAGCCGTGGCAGCGGCCGCTGCTTATCTACGAGGGCGACCTGGCGGCTCACCTCAGCAAAGAGCTGGAAACGCTGCGGCTGCTCTTCAAGAAGCTGTCGCTGCAGACACGCTGCGAGAGCGTCACCGCCTTCAGCGACGACCACGGCCTGAGCGCGGACGAGCGCGAGCAGTTTGTCTACCTGGGCGAGCAGTTGAACAACCAGCTGGGCTATCTCTCGCAGCACTACAAGCGGCGCAACTTTGTGCTGCAGCAGTTCTTCAGCCACGACGATGTGCATCTGCGACAGGCGGCCAATGTGCTGCAGGTGGCGCTGAGCTTCCAGGCGGCGTGCGTGCAGCCACAGCCCGCATTCAAGATACGTCACATCAAGCTGGGTGCCCGCATGGCCGAGCTGCTGGGCAGCAATGAGCAGCTCTTTGGCCACCTGCTGCAGGAGCAGGGCTTTGATCTGTTCGAGGCCGTGCTCAGCCTCTACAAGGAGCCCTACATGGCCCTGTCCATTAAGCTGCAGCTGCTGAAGGCCGTCTATGCCATGCTGGACACCCGCCTGGGCGTGCAGCACTTCCTCTCCCCCAAGACAAATGGCTATCAGATGGTCATGGACTTCCTGAAGACGGCCAAGCTGACCAGAACCAAATACGCTCTGCAGGCCATCATCAAGAAGTTGCACTTGTACGAGGCCTTGGCCAGTGTCCAGCAAAGCTGCCGCCAGATCTTCGTGGATCAAGAAGCCAGTATGGGGACGGAAGCAACGCCAGATGCCAGCCGATTGGAGATTTGTCAGAGGATTGAGTTTGCCTTCCAGATGCTCATGGACGCTCTGACCACCAGCCAACTGAGTTACCAGCAGCCGCGCCGTTTCCTGCCCGTTTCCAAGAAGTTCGAAGTGCTCATCGATCCCACGGCCCAGCGGAGCTTTGGCAATGCCCTCCAGTCGTACTTTGTCCAGCACTCGCTCGCAGAGTCTGTGCTGATTATTCTGAGCAATCCGAAGGAAGTGCCGCCCTCGACTTTCCTCTGCACTTTAGACCTTATGCACACTCTGCTGCTGTCCCATGTGGGCATTGATTACTTTGTGGACGATGCCTTTCCCGTCACCCAAATGATCGTGTCCATACTCCTCGGCTTGGACGAGGTGCCCAGCCAGCCCAGGCCGCATGTGCTGGAGGAGCCAAAGCCAGATGGAACGCCAAAGGCAGATCAGGACAAGGAGCAGCCAATGGATGCGAGTGAGGAGCAGAAATCGGATGAGTCGAAAGAGGAGGAGCCAAAGCTTGCGCCGCCACCGCCAGTTGTGCGACAGCCTATAATGCGACCAGTGCTCCCCCGCCTCGCGCGCCTGGGCATCGAGTTGGCCTACAAGGTGCAGACGCGCTACCACCTGGACGCCATTGTGTTCACGGCCGCCTGCCCCGAGTACGACACCATCAAGATAGCCACCCACATGCACTCGATCTACTCACAGACATGCGATCCCGCCGGCCGACAGCACACCGTCGAGGTGTTGGGACTGAACAATAACCTGAAGATCTTCATGGATCTGATCAAGAAGGAGCAGCGGCTGCAGACGCAGCGCCAGCTGCTCAGCTCCCCGGGCACCAAGTACAAGAGTCCGGTGCTCAGCTATGCCGTGGACATGGTGGACGCCTGTGTGCGCTACTGCGAGCAGCTGGACTACCTCATCGAGCACGGAGGCGTCATACTGGAGCTGGCCAAGAACCACGAGACCTTCGAGCCCTCGGTGTCGGCGGTGCTGCAGGAGATGTATGTCTATATGAAGCCCCTGGAGGCCATCAATGTGTTTGTCTACGACGATATCATGCCCCTGGTGGAGGTGATTACGCGCTCGCTCGACTATCTGACCACGTTCCCCGGCGATCTGATCATGGCGCTGCGCATTCTCCGCTTTCTGGCCATCAGCCGCACGGGCCAGAAGTCGCACGGCACCGAGGAGCTGAAGCATCGCTTTGTGGCCCTGCAGCTGTATGCGGCGGATGGGGTCCAGCTGCTGCTGCAGATCATGGAGCGGCTGTGCACGCACTTCGAGCAGCCGGGCATCCATGCACCCGCACTGATGACCATCCAGGGCGTACACTGCTGCCAAATCATGCTGCCCACCCTGCAGATCCTGCGCGAGCTGCTCTCCTACGCCATACTGTGCCGCGACGGCACCTACAAGGATCTCACGGCCATCGATCACCTGGTGAAGGTGTACTATCTGCTCTTCTACTATCCCTCCCGCTGCCAGGCTGGCGCTGAGGTGGAGCAGTGCAAGCTGGAGGTGGTGCAGAGCCTGTTGGCCTACACCCAGCCGCACGAGCAGGATGCAGAGTCGCTGCACAAGTCCCTCTGGACGCTGATGATACGCGAGGTGCTGAAGAATATCGATGGACCCGCCCACTTCATACCAGGTGAGTGTTTCCAAGCGAGATTTTGAATCAATTAATTGAGAGTTCCAACCAAAACAGGACTCAAACTGCTGGCCGAACTGCTGCCACTGCCATTGCCCATGCCTCAGCCGCTGTGCGACCAACTGAAGCAGCAGCACAAGCAGCGACTGATCACCGAGCGGAAGCTCTGGTCCGCCCATCTGCATCCGCAGAGCGGACAGATTGCCAAGCTGGTGGAGGCCCTGGCTCCCTCGAGCTTCCCCCAGCTGGCGGAGCTGCTGCAGCGCGTTTGCATGCAGCTCTCAGATCTGGCCCCGAACATGACTCTGCTGATAGCCAAGACAATCACGGAGCTGCTGTGCACCGAGTATCAGACCTCCAACTGCATTCCCACCACCAATCTGGAGCGTCTGCTTCGATTCTCCACGCGCCTGTGCGCCTTTGCGCCGCTGAAGAGCTCCATGCTGTCGATTCTGTCCGGCAAGTTCTGGGAGCTCTTCCAATCGCTGCTCGCGCTCAATGAGTTCAACGAGGTGGTGACCAACTGCCAGGAGGCGGTGCATCGCATCCTCGACAGCTTCCTGGACTCGGGCATCTCGCTGATATTCCACAAATCGACGGCTCTGCCAGCGCTGAATCTCTCCGCCGCACTGCCACCCAAGGAGCTCATACCGCGCATTATCGATGCGGTGTTCAGTAATCTAACCAGCGTGGAGGTCACCCATGGCATATCCATACTGGCAGTGCGCAATCTGGTGATACTCACGGAGCACGAGTAAGTTCTACCCAGATCAGACCTTAATTTGTGCTTTGATTTCTGACTTTTGATATTTTCTCCTGTGGCAGCTTCACCTTTTACCACTTGGCGCAGCTGCTGAAGCAGAAGCTCACCGAATTCCAGGCCTGGATGGAGCGCGTCATTCTGCACAACGAGACGGTGGAGTACCATGCCAACATCGAGTCGCTGATCCTGCTGCTCCGTTCGCTCACGCAAATTGAACCGCCGCCGCCGATGTCTGCTATGCCCAATCGCACCCTCAAGCTGGGCGCCACGGAGCTGGCACAACTGGTGGAGTTCCAGGACATTGAGATGGCCAGGCCACCGGTGCTGGCACGCATCCTGCGCGTGCTGGACAAGTACAAGGCGGTGGCCAATGAGGCGGCACTGTGCGACCTCAAGCAATTGATTATTCTGCATGCCTCCAGGCAGGAGGCAAGCGCCAGCATGGAAACGCTGCCTGCCGCCGTCGCAGTGGAGTCCGAAAGTGAGCTGGCCACTCCGACAGCCAGCAGCACCAGTGGATCACTTAGCGTGGAACCTTTTCTGCCCCAAGCCGAGGGCATTGTCACCCAGTATGAGGCGCGTCCGATATTCACGCGATACTGCGCCACTGCCGAGAATCCCCAGCTCACGGCACGCTACTGGCTGGAGCCGCTGCCCATCGAGGTGATCGAGGACATGAATGAGCCGCTCTACGAGCGCATTGCCTGCGACCTCACCGACCTGGCCAATGTCTGCCTCAACCCGGACCTGGCCACCTCCGGCGACTCGAAGCGCACGCTGAATCTGTCCGGCTCGCCGCAGTCCAACCGCGAGATGACGCCCACAGCGCCCTGCTTCCGCACACGACGTGTGGAGGTGGAGCCCGCCACCGGTCGGCCAGAGAAGAAAATGTTTGTCTCGGCGGTGCGTGGACGAGGCTTTGCCCGGCCACCACCCTCTCGCGGCGATCTGTTCCGTTCGCGTCCGCCCAATACCTCACGTCCGCCGTCGCTGCATGTGGATGACTTCCTGGCTCTGGAAACCTGTGGGGCACAGCCCACTGGTCCAACGGGCTACAACAAGATACCCTCCATGCTGCGGGGCTCGCGAGTGGGTCGCAATCGGGGATCTCGCATCTCGGCAGCGGCTGCCTTCAGGTAAGGAAAATACTAATCTTCCAACTGAATATTGAATTAATTGTTCATCTTTTTCCTTGGGCAGACAAAAGAAAATGATGCGCATGGGTTCGCCCTCCAGTTGGACAGAGTCTGGCGGCGGTGGGTCGTATCGTTCCAGCTCGGAATCACATTTTGGCGGCAGTGATTCGCACTACTCCTCGCCCCACTACAGTGGCAGATCGCGTGGCCGTGGCCTGCGCTCGCGACCGCCCTATCTGCGCTAAGAATGGAACAAGCAATATCTCCTGGAAGATGGGGGAATATCCCTTTAAAATGTCAGTTTATCTTGATTATAAAATAAGCTGAAAAGCTCGTATCTAAGTTCAATTTTCGGTTATAACATTATGCAAGCGCACATCATGGCTGTCCATGGGCAGCTCCTCCTGGCCGACAATCTGTTCGTTCAGCGCCAGTCCCATAAAGGATATCTTCTTGTGAGGATATTTGTCCGAGTGATGGCGCAGAAACTTATCATAGTAGCCCATGCCATGGCCCATGCGAGCACCATTGCGGCTGAATGCCACGCCGGGCACAATAAACAGATCAATGCCGTGACCTGCAAGAGCAACAGAGCTGAGATTAAAAGCTCTTAAAAGCCAGCTGCAACCCACCATTGGTCATGGCATCTTCGCGATTATCCTTGAAGTCTGGCTGCTTGATGTTCCATTTGGTCAGGGGCAGATTCTCGTACTCCTCCATGCCACGTAGGCGCACCATTTTCATGCTTGCGCCCTCGTAGCTCGGCACAAACACCATCTTCTCCAGGCGAAACATCTCGCAGAGCAGCTCGGTGGTGTCCACCTCGCCGCTGGTGCTCAAATAGATGCTCACACGCTGCGCCTGCCGAAAGGCCTCGCACTGCAGCACCTAAAAGGGGCAAACCGAATGAACGTTCCGCACTCACGGGCCCTGGGCCTGCTTTTTACCTTTGCGGTGACTGCATGCGATTGCCGCTTAATGGACTCTGCATCCAGGCGCTTGAGCGCATCCTTCATGCTCTTCCTAAGTGCCACTTTCAGGCTGTTTTGTATAGTCGATGCCATCGGCACTTTGTCTTTGTCCGCTGGCAGTGTCCAGACACTTGTACAAACCGGTAAGAACTGTATGAAGCTGCTGATGCCTAGAAGCGGGCATCTGTAGGTCTCCGTGAATGCTTTATCAGCATTTTCTTATCAATCGCCTGCTTTGTTACCTACTACGATCCGTAAACAAATGACAGGGTGGACCCAGGGACACAGAGTTGAAGTATCCAACAGCTGATTTGGCATTCACCCGGCGCAATCAATGAACTTTTAAAGCGTTAAAGCAACTTTAAACATACATAGTATATATTTTAAATAACGATTTTCAATTAAAAACATATCAATTTTCTCATTTCTTGTCCGTCTCTGGTGCCTTGGCTTCCGTCTTGGTCTTCAGCTTCTTTAGCTGCTCCTTTTGCTGCTTATGGAAGAACTCCTCCTCGCGGGCAGCCTCCATTTTGCCAAAAGAGCCGCCTGCCTCGCGAATGCTGCCACCGCCGCCGCCACCCTTGCCGGCACCGCTACCTAGTTCACCGATTTGTGACATTTTCAAATTCCTGCCAGGTTGAAAATAGAATATAGTTCACTATACATGTATAAATCGTATTTTCTTATGCAATTTCTAGAATGTTGTTCATGGAACTTACTGAATTTGCTTTGGATACAAGCGCTGACTGATGCGACGCAATGTAAACATGTTTCCCTTATATACCAATCAAGTATATAGTATATCCAAGTGTGATGTGATATATATAAAGTGTGATTTATGCAAAACGATTGCGACAATTTGTGAAACTTGCGCGCGCGCCGCAGCTGATCTTTCAAAGCGAGTCCTGCCAACTAGAGCCAAATAAAACCAACTCTGTTATCGATAAATAGAACCATTGCATATTCAATTTAAAATAAAGAAACTAACAATTTTATTTGTGCACAGAACTTTCACCCCTCTTCTTTGCTCACCCCACCTTAACACTGAAATTATAAACGAAAACAGTTAACTATTTAAGCTGATCCAGCATGTTGCCAGCAGCATCAACGTCCTCGACAGTGGTCTCCTCTTTCTGGTTGCGCCCCTGCAGCTTTTTGAAGTTATCAGCAGTCTGTGGCGATCAAATTCAAAGCTAAGAAATGTAAATTAATTCCAGTTAGATAAGTGAACCTACCTCGGACATGAAAAACGCCTCTTCGCGTACGTTCTTGTGTTTGTTCATCAATGCGGTGGTGTAGAGGGCGGCATTGTTAATGGCCTTGTTGTACTCATCCCAGTTGGGCAGATACTCGGCAATGGCCTTCTTGTCGCGCATTTTTTCAATGAGATCCTGATTAACTGTGGTGAAGTATTCCTCCTCCTTGAGGCCGCCCTGCAGCTTGCCCAAACCACCGCCCCACATGTAGAAATTCGGGGCTTTCGTCTCATTGTAGTTCATCTGAGGCACAGGCCGAAAGCTGCAGGTTGCAAATGTTTTCTAATAAATGATTGCTAAACAGAACAAGCAATAAAAAGCTAATCTTACGCGATCGGCAGAGCCAAGCTCAGTTTACGTTGCAGCAGTGTGGCTGCAAACATTTTGAAAATCGATAAATAAAATTCAGTTTTTTTTTTGATGAAAAATATATCAGGAGCAGGGACTCAGATCTTGACAGTCTCTCAGTCACTACAACAGTTTGTGCTACTACAACTTAAACTCATTGGAAACTTATTTGAGAGCGGAGAATTATTATTTTGAGTTTTGATTTCTTAAAAATTTAAATCCAGAAAAATGCCAGAAAAGAGCTCACAAAATATCAAAACATTTGTAAGTTTCGCTCTCTCTCTATTTTGTTGTCTCAATTATTTCGCCATGAACAAAATCATATTTCAGAGCAAGATTGTGCAAGAATCAGCGGATAGCACTGCCATGGAACATGGGACCACGCCGTCTCCATCAATTTTGAGGCTCAGCCACAATGCCTCTGATGGGGATTCGAAATGCGCTTCAGCGCCCTGCCTTGTCGTACCCGTGCGGCAGAAATCGCTGGGCGCGTTTATGCACCTACAGAGTGAGAGCCGAAGGGAAATCGGTTCTGCGGTCACGCCAGGCATCAGCTACGCGGCGGCCGTCGAGAATGTCGTTGCGGCCCAACAAATGGCAAACATCAAAATGGCCATACCGCCACGTGTCAAGAAGCAGCAGAAGCCGGCAAAGGCCAACAGAAGGGCGGCAATCGATTCAAACTTTACGATATTCGACGAGGAGCCCAAGCCGCATCTTGTCATGCTATATAACAAGGAGACACCACACGTGGCTAAAAAGAAACCAATTGCTGAGAGAAAAACTGTCCAAGAGGTGCAGCAGAAAAAGAGTCAAAAGAAACAGATCGCGAAAGTAGTACCGAAGCTGCTCAAAAAGCCCGAGCTGTTTTTTCAGCCAAAGCCGCCAAAGAATGTACCGCAGGATAAACCTGAGGAGTCACAGAATGACTCTCAGAATGAGTCCCATGAGTCCCTGAGTGAAGAAACCGACTTTAGTGGCATGGAACTGGAATTATACCGCGCTCGCTTCCAGAGCACCGAATCTGAAGCTTCATTCGATTCCTTGCCAGCGCCAATGGATCTGCCTGGGGCTAATGGGCAGGCAAATTCTACTCCGGAGTTCACCGATTGCGAAAGTTATCTCAGCTATCATCTGCACAGATTGCAGCAAATTTTGGCCACTCAGTGCTCAGATCCTTTCTGGAATAAGCTGCCTCTGTCCCGAAAGCCAATTAAAAAAGAACCCTTGAACTTCCAGATGAACGAGAAGCAGTATCAACGGCTGGACTTGGAGGCAGATGCCATTTTGACGCAGACTAGGGCCATGCATCGGATGTGGTTGTGTGGTAATATACCGATTTAGAAACCAAAGTCAAAGCCCACTAAACCACGGTTTAGTGAGCCTCAAAAACAATAGCAGACCTGCCAACCGGCTTGCAAGGAGTAATACTGTAAATAGCTCTGGTCTTACAATTCAGTATTTTAGTCAAACAAGTATTTTATGCTTGTTGTTGCATATTGTTTATTATAAACTTCTCGAAATTGAGCTTAAATTAATATTTAAGGTTATTCCCGCTTTACCCAAGAGTAGAGCGGTAACATAAAACATACAAAAAAATATATATTTAAGGTGTATTAAAGAACATGGTATTGATGTTTTTGTTTTTTTGTTTTTTTTTTATTCTCCCTCGGGGGTATTTTCTCTCTCTACTGTTATTCTAAGATAAACCCATTATAAATGTTTAAACATTAATTAAGTGAAATAGGGTATACAAAAGAAATACAACGGTTAACATGCAACAAGCGGTCAAATGACGTAGCAGTCATTCACACTTACGGTACACTTACGTCTAATGATTTTTTTTTCGTACTTTTTAGTTAGAACCGTTTTTTGTAAACAATCCAATTAAGATAACTCATGAAAATTAGCAATTTAGTTTAAAAATGGATCATCAATCGCATTAAATTATAGTTTCTGTGCTGGGAGCTCCCACTGTCTGGTAATATTAGCTAGAATATGAAAATTGATGAAAATGATGTGCGGTTAGGTAGATTTACGGTACGTTTCACAAAGGAAAACGTATATTTCTAAGGGTCAGACGGCATATTTAATCGATAATTCTCGGTCACACTGAGCCCTAGTGCTCGAAAGAAAATGTTGTGTTGTGAAAATGATGATTTTCATATAATGGCGATATAGTTTTAATCAAACAAAGTGCATAGATTGTGCAGGGAAGCATGTTTATTGAGTGAGGAGGAACCAAGCACTTACGGGGCAAAGCGAATGCGCTTTGTGCGCCTTGCTTTTGCACTTGCGTATGTGTGTGTGTGTGTATAATGGACAAGTTAAAAAACAACAACAAGGAAAATGCATCAATTGAATATCCCCAGCCCCCGACCCCCTACCCGACCACAATTGATGGCGAGGATGTGGAGAGCAACAAGAGCACACCGTACTTCACACCCATGGAATTTATGCAAACATCCTTTGAGTTCCCATCGCCCACATTCGAAACAACAACGCAATCGCCAGGAGGTGTTGTTGTCGCCCCCGCCACAGCCACAGCTACCACCGCCACACTACTCACCACAGAGGCGGCCGACCACGATATAGAGGATGCGACACGCCCCTATACGCCCAAGCAGTTCACCATCGCCCACCCGAATGCACCCCACCACGGCAGCACACAGTCACCCACACTGAATCGAAAGTTCAAGCGTTTCTCGCTCTACGATCGACGATCCTGCTCACCGCACATTGCCAGCAGCACAGGCACCACCGACAAGGAGAACACGATCCCAAAGTCTGGCGACGACATGGAGAACAGTCTGTATCTGTCCAAGAGCGAGCATAACTCACCCACAATTATATTCAGAGATGAATCCTCCTCGACGCCCGTCGGCCTAGAGGCGAGTCGCCTCACCTATTCGCCCAAGCTGCTGTCGTCCATTAACAATCTGAATCTGTCCGGCCATGGGTCCCCCTTGAACATTATCAATTCGGCGGGCTACAAGAATGGGAACTTCTTTCGCTTCCCCGAGATCGATCATCATGTCGTGCAGGAGACGCCCATCGATGCAGTACATATCGAGGAAGCGGCGGCCCAGATGCAGCGATTCAGGGGCAAGGAGTCACTGGCCGCCGAGCTGGCACGTGCGGAGCAACCCCAGGATCAGCAGCGGGCCGAGGGGCGGAAGAATCGCAAGAACAAGAATAATCTCACCATTCGCATCACAGATGTGCCCATCAAGCACTCTGGTGGGGGGCAGGTGTCGCCGCTGCCCAAACCAAAGACGCCCACCATCAAGAGCACCAAAGAGAAGGCACGCTCCCTGGACTCTGCGGCCAACGAGACGGAGCTGTCGATTGTGGTGCACAACATAACCGAATCTCATGGCAGCTGCGAGGACATGATGGACAACCAGAACAAGCCCCTGGCCGGCGGCCTACACATCCATCATCTGCAGCAGCCCACCTCCACCGCCGGCATACACTCGACATCGCTCTCACGTCTCGACAACAGTCACAGTGCCCGTCGCACGCCGCGCCGCAAGTCGCCGGGCATCGACAATCCCAACTGGCTGATGTACCATCGCAAGCAGAATCCATATCACGGCAGCACCAGCACGGCCCAGAGCTCACTGGACTCGGAAATGAGCCTCAGTGACTCGCCCCAGCGCAGTGCGGCGGAGCTGAAGTCCGCCTGCAGCATGGACGGAAGCTCCAAGTTTGGCCTGGGCGCCACTCTGGCTCCGCGCAGCTCCCACAAGCACAACCAGCTGCTGCACTCGTCCAGCACGAATCTGAAGACCTTGCCCGAATGCCTCACTCTGGTGGAGTTCTCCTCTGGCGGCGGCGGCGCAGGCGGTGGCAGCGGCAGTTCCTCCGCCAAGGAGTCGCCCTTCAAGCAAAAGTCCATGGACTTGCCCATGCCCAATCTGCAGGCAAAGACGACGGTGTCCACCTCATCGATGAATCTCCTACAGCGACGTGGCTCCAACCACAGTCTCACGCTCAATCTGCACAGTTCGTGCGGCAACCTGATGAACAGCGGCCTCAGCATCTCCAACTACAGCCTCGGCTCCATACTCAACTCAAAGTCCAGCTGCAACCTGGAGGCTGGCGGCGGCACCGCCAGCGGAACCGCACAGCTGGCGGGCGCCAGTCAGCAGCAGACACAACAGCATCTTGCCAGCAGCAGCAGCAGCAGCCAGGGCAATCGTCAGGGCCTATTCCGCAGGCGGGGATCCACTCACAGCATCACCCTGAAGGGCCACACCACCACCTCGTGCGGCGACCTGCAGCAACAGCAGCAGGCGATGCTGAATGCCGAGAAGTACAACCGCTTGAGCATGCGCACCAATTCCACTGGCTCTGGATCCGGCTCGAATGTGCCCACACCCAAGCGTGGGCTGCTGGAGCGACGTGGCTCCAATCAGAGTCTCACCCTCAATATGGGCAGCATTCTGGGCGTCGGAGGAGGCGAGCTGCCCGTGCCGGATGTGTGTGGTGGACAGCAGCCCAAGGTGACTGTCTGCAGCTGTGCTGCCTCCAGCCAGGCTCCGCACCAGCGGAAGTTCTTCAGCACCGAGAACCTGAACACAAATCCGAACAAGCAGAGCTCGCAGTTCTTTGGTCAGGTGTGCTTCGGGTCTGCTTCTGATTTGCAGCCCAATCCGGTGCAGGATCCGGCCAGTACCGAGCAGAGCATTGCCTGCACCTGCGCCGGCACGGTGCGCAACATAATGACACGGCCCCTGTCGCCGCAGACGACCAGCGAGGAGTTCAAGATCTACTTGGCCAGCATCCAGATGCTGCAGAGTGCCTCCAATCCGCTGAATCAGTTCGATTTGATACGCCTCAATCATGTGTTCGATCACAGCTACAAGACCAACAAGAACATCATTGAACAGCCGCCGGTTTTGGGCTCGAATGGTCGCGAGGCAGAGCTGGAGACACCCACGAATCAGCTGCCACCCAGCTCGGAGGACAGCGAGCTGCTCGCCTGCTACCAGGCGGTGGTTAAGCGGATTGTGCAGTCTATGCCGCAGCTGGAGGAGGCCGAACAGAAGCGCATCTTCTGCGATCTGCACAAGGAGTTCTGGGATCTGCCGCTCAATCATCAGGAGAAGCCCATGGTCTTTGGCTCCCAAACAAAGAATCGCTACAAGACGATTCTGCCCAATGAGCATTCCCGTGTGCTGCTCGAGCCCGAGGCCAGCGAGCTGCTCAGTCTGGAGCAACAGGAGCAGCACCAGCAGCAGCAGGAGGATGCGCCCTACATCAATGCCAATTATATCAAGGTGAGTCCCTGTCTGCTCATAAGTATTGAAATGATTCTGGTTTTGTCTCTTGCAGGGACCCGACTACGTGTCCAAGTGCTATGTGGCCACCCAGGGCCCGCTGCCCAACACCATCTATGAGTTCTGGCTGATGATCCACCAGAACACGCAGCGCTACATCCGCCGCTGCGTGGACGGGGGCAGTAGCAGCAGTCCGCACATGGAGCGATCGCAGATTTTGCAGCAGTACTACCAGAAGATCGTGATGCTGACCAACTTCACGGAGGCGAATCGACAGAAGTGCGCCATTTACTTTCCCATCGATCTCAATGAGATATTCGCTGTGGCCGCCAGGTGCGAGGTGTTCCGGCTGAGTGCGGCTGCCAGGGCCTACTTTGATCAGCATCTGACGCCCATTTCTGTGCCGGACACTGCGGTGGCACCGCCGCCACTCAATGAGCTCGAAGATCTCAGCTATCAGCACATTGGCGTCGAGTCGTTGAAGGTGACGCTGGACCGAGAAGTGCTGGAGAGTCTGCCGGGGCAGAGCAACTTCTTTCTGGTGAAGAACGTGGGCATTGTGAGACGAAACGGATACTCGGTGCGAAAGTTTGTGCTGCTCTACTGCATCCATGTGCCGCAAACGGCTAGCTATTATCTGCAGAAGATCTGCTGCTATCACTACTGGTATCCGGACTGGCCCGATCACCATTCGCCGCGGGACATCAATACGCTGCTGGACACTTGTCTGCATGTCCTGAATCTGGGCAAATGCGAGTCGGAGTTCGACAACTACGACGAGAGTCGAAGCGTGCGCAATGCCCATCTGACGGCTCAGCGTCTGGACATCTATAAGCAGGACATTTTCAATGCCGTGCAGCCCCTGCCCGTCATCCACTGCTCGGCTGGCATCGGGCGAACTGGCTGCTTCACGGCCATACTGAATGCCGTGCGTCAGCTGCGTCAGTCGCTGGCCTACTCCCTCACCGGCATGCTAACCAAAGCACTGAATGCGGCAGAGTTTGAGCTCAACTCGGAGGCGCAGCACGACGACAGCGACAGCAGCTTCACATGCAACACCATACGGCATATTAAGCAGATAATTGACCACCAGGAGCCGCCCACTTTTGACAAGCTACCCAAGATGCCAGACATCTTTGTGGACGTGCTGGGCATTGTGTGCAATCTGCGCTTGCAGCGCGGCGGCATGGTCCAAAACTCTGAGCAATACGAGCTGATACACCGCGCCATTTGTCTCTACTTGAAGCGAACCCTGGCCCTGAGGAGGTTCTAAGAATTACACACACAAAACCCGCGCCCCATGTTGACGACTACGATATACGGATTAAATATTTAAGATATGCGGATACAGAAGGAGAAGAAGAACAAACACCAATTTACTATTATGTAAAACCAAAACAATTTGTGACCCTTTATTTAAATGTAAACAACCAATCGACAAAAGTAGAACAAATCAACAAACAAAACCATGGCTAAAAGAGTCTCGAAACACACGCAAAAACACTTGCAACTGGCATGGAAAGGATGCACTCCGAGGCACTCCTGGAAGTGTGTTTGCTAATTATTACTATTACCACATATTCTACCACATATATACCTACATATATATATATATATATATATTAATGTTTATTAAGTGTTTGGATGTATGTGTCTGTTAAATGTTTGTCCTGTGTGCATGTACATAAGTGTAAATGTTTTCAACTTTTGGTGTGAACTATGCTTAAAAACCTAAACTAAAGTTAATTAATTAACAATTATTATATTACCCTTATCCTTTATTGTAAACCCATCCCTAGCCCATCCCAACTTTACAGAACTCCGCGCGACTTGTGTTTGTGTGTGTGCGCGGCGTGCCCCCGATCCAACTGTGAGCTGGCTACCCATGTTTGGGGGCGAGGAAAGCTCACACCTTTTTCAAGTTGGTCCCTCCACCATACGGGGGAGGGCCTTCTGACTAAACACCAAATTTCTTCAAGCCCAAACTGTTAGTTCTACCGTTGGGTTGTGGGGCCACCCACCCGCTGCCAAACCAAGCAATCAACCATCATCCAACGCGCCCAGAGTTCTTCGAATAATGCGAATAGTGGAAGAAAACCAAAACCATAAATAAACTTGTATTACTGTTTATGAAATGGAACTAGTCAAATAAACCCTAGAAACATTTTAAATGTATCTTTAAATGTGTAAAAAAAACAACAAAACAAAACGATTTTTATATTTTGTTTCTGGTTGGAGGGAACTTTGGACATCTCCGAATCTGCTCAAGCAGCAACTGATAAATAATAAATGATGATTAAGCATGACAATTGCTTAACTAGAAGTGATGTTAATCCAAAATTAGTTTAAGGTTTGCTTTTGTTGCGTACGAACTTCTACCCCCATGGCACTGTGACGGGTTAATACGTGGCGTCAGCTGTTTCGACCAGAGTTTCGGTGCAAAGTCCGTCATCGTTGGAATCAGGTTTTGGATTTGTTATTACCGAATAATTGAATTATGATTGGATAGTCGGTCGGTCTGTCTACACGGGACAGCGCAGCATAATTTAGGACAGCAAAATGCTACGAACTGCCGGCCAGTCCATACTCGTTAGACTCTACAGCAGCATGAAGGTAATTTCCACAGCATCTGTGCAATAAATCTTAATTAATTGAAATTTACTTCTTGCAGGTGAAAATTCCCGTGAAGCAGGGCATTGTTGTGGGCCAGCAACAGCGGCTGCCCAGTGGCCTGGAGTACAACAGTTTCCTGGGCGTACCATATGCGGAGCCACCTGTTGGCAGTCTCAGATTTCGTGTAATTACAGCAGAAAAACTCCCAGATAGAGATTATTTATTTTACTTGGCACCCTTAGAGCCCCGTGCCGCAGGAACGCTTCGAGCAGCATGAGCTGGACTGCAGCAGGGAGAGGGATGTGTCGCATCAACGTGATCCCTTCACCGCAGAAGTGGCCGGCTCCGAGAACTGTCTCTTCCTCAATGTGTATGCGCCCAAGGGAAAACGTTCAGCGTCGCCCTTGCCCGTCATGGTGTGGATTCACGGCGGTGGCTTCTTATTTGGCAACGGCAACAGCGACTTGTGAGTGGAGTGCACCAAAGTGGCGCCCAAAGTCTGAACACAAATCTTTGCAGACACTTTCCAGCCAAGCTCATGGAGCAGGACGTCATTGTGGTCACATTGAACTATCGCCTGGGTGCCCTGGGATTCCTGAGTTTGCCCGAGGAGGGCATTTACGGCAACATGGGACTGAAGGATCAGCGCATGGCCCTGCAGTGGCTGCAGGAGAATATTGCCAGCTTCAATGGTGATCCCAGCAATGTGACGCTCTTTGGCGAAAGTGCGGGCGCGGCGTCCGTGCACCTGCACACGTATGCGCGGCACGCCAACAAGCTCTTCCACAAGGCCATCATGCAGAGCGGAACGGGCAACATGGAATGGGTGTTTCAACAGAATGCAGCCTACAAGACCCGTCGTTTGGCCGAACTCCTCGGCGGCGGCGATTTCGGCAGCAACACAAAGGCTCTGTTGGCGTTCCTGCAGTCTGAGAAGGTGAAACCCGATGGCATTTTGGCTAACACGATGAAGGTTCTGACAGCGGATGAGCGGCGTCGCCACCTGCCGTTCGCCTTTAAGCCCGTGCTCGAGGATGCCTGCAGTACCGACAGTTTCATCAATCAGAATATTCTGGATCTGATGCACACGAAGGATCATGTGGGCAAAATGCCCATGATCATGGGCTACAACTCGGCGGAAGGACTGGCCATGATTGTGAGGGCCAAGCTGAAACTGGAGGACTACGAAGAAGATCTGGCGCGAACGGTGCCGCGCGATCTGGTGCCGGATCCACAGGCCCCCGAGGCTCAGCAAGCGGCTGACGACATACGAAACTTCTACTTCAACGGCCAGACTTTGACCATTCAGCATCTCGACAGTATGGTGGATCTGTTCAGTGATTACCACTTCTGCATGGATATGCAGAATGCCGCGGAGATTCATGTCAACTCTCAGATGCAGTCGCCATTGTACTTCTACCGACTGGACTACGTTGGCGGACGCAATATGTACAAGAAAATCTTCCAGAATGAGGATCTGCGGGGAGTGGCGCATGCTGATGATATTTGCTATTTGTTCCAGATGGCAGGGGACGAGACTCCGATGGAAAAGGAGGATGCGCTCGTCTCGGGGAAGATTGCTCAGATGTGGGCGAATTTCGCGCGGCACGGTAAGCCATCCGATAGTTGGACATCAGTGCAAAGACCCCAGCCTGGCCAGCCCATGCAGCTGGACTGCCTGCTCATTGATCGAGAGTGTAAAATGCACAAGAATCCGGAAGCAGAACGCATGGATTTCTGGCGCAGCATGTACCAGCGATATAGACCTCAGAGTTATGTTCGAGCCAAGCTATAATTTGTCCTCATTAGTTATAAATAGAGAATGGTCGTTAAATTTACTTTCGAACAATTGTTTTAACCCATCGCTAGTCAATACAACGATGTGGCGGTTTTTGGTAACGATGAATCGATAGATCTCAATGAAAAATCAACCCTGGGCGTCAGCATCGCAATTTGGAAGAAATTGCGGTAAAAAGTTATATTTTGACGCAAGAACGAAGACTGAATTGAAATTTAAGGAAATTGCTGCAAAATGTATGTGAAAAAGCTGGTGCTCGACGGGTTCAAATCCTACGGGCGCCGCACAGAAATTGATGGCTTCGATCCAGAGTTCACGGCCATCACCGGTTTGAACGGCTCCGGCAAATCCAACATTTTGGACAGCATTTGCTTTGTGCTGGGCATCAGTAATCTGCAGAATGTAAGTTCCTTCTGATGCACACATTCCATAACAATAATTAATGCTCCGAATGCCGCTTAAAAGGTGCGCGCCTCCGCTCTGCAAGATCTGGTGTACAAGAACGGACAGGCGGGCATAACTAAGGCAACGGTGACGATTGTTTTTGACAACACAAATGCCCTCCAGTGTCCGCAGGGGTACGAGAAGTGCCGCGAGATATCGGTGACCCGCCAGGTTGCAGTTGGAGGCAAGAACAAATTCCATATCAATGGCAAGCTGGTGCAGAACAAGAAAGTGCAGGACTTCTTCTGCTCCATCCAGTTGAATGTGAACAATCCCAACTTCCTGATCATGCAGGGCAAGATCCAGCAAGTGCTCAACATGAAGCCCAAGGAGGTGAGTACAGGCATCTCCGTCGCTCTCTTCTGCCAGCTATTTCACTGTCTGTGTGTGCGCAGGTGCTGTCTATGGTGGAGGAGGCCGCTGGCACCAGCCTGTACAAGTCGAAACGCGATGCCACCAAGAATCTAATCGAAAAGAAGGAAACCAAGGTGCGCGAGACCAAGGCTTTGCTGGAGGAGGAGGTGTATCCAAAGCTGGTCAAGCTGCAAGAGGAACGCGCTGCCCACGATGAGTACCAGAAACTCACGCGCGAACTGGACTATCAGACGCGCATCTTCATCTCTGCACAATACCTAAAGCAGTGTGAATCCCTCAAGACGTTGGAGGCAAGTGAACACAAGATAGACGCTCGCATAGCCACTTGCCTGTCGACGCGCGACCAGAACCTGCAGGAAATGGAGAACATTGAAAGCTCCGTCAAGGAAATGCAGGAGAAGATCGAGGCCGAGATGGGTGGTTCGATAAAGGAGCTAGAGGCGCAGCTGAGTGCCAAACGTGCGCAGGAGGCCACAGCCTCGGGCAGTTTGAAGGCGGCCCAGGGTACCATTGAACAAGACCAGCGGAAGATTAAGACGGCCGCAAAGAACATTGCCGATGACGAGCGTGCCCTCAAGCAAAAGGAGGCCGCCATGTCGAAGGTGCAGGGCGAATTTGAAGCTCTGAAAGAGGCAGACTCGACCGATGCCAAGGCCTATGAGGCTGCTCAGCGTAAGCTCGAGGCTGTCTCACAGGGCCTGTCCACCAATGAGGATGGCGAGGCAAGCACATTGCAGGAGCAGCTCATAGGTGAGAGTTTCTTTTGTGTGACGATTCCAACGATCAATGCCAATCGTTTCTGCTTTGCTTTTCAGTGGCCAAGGAGCAGTTGAGCGAGGCGCAGACCACCATAAAAACCTCAGAGATGGAGCTGCGGCACACACGAGGTTTGCTGAAACAAAAACAGGGCGAAACGCAGACCAACGATGCTGCCTATGTGAAGGACAAGGCACAGCACGACCAGCTGCTGGTGGAGATACAGAGCCTGGAGCGACAGCTGCAGGGACTCAACTATGAGAGCGGGCAGTTTGAGCAGCTGCGTGAGCACAGAAACCAGCTGCTAACCCGCAAGCGAGACCTAAAGCGTGAGCTGGAGCAGCGCAATGCCTCGCGCTACGATCTGCAGTACCAGGACCCAGAGCCCAACTTTGATCGCCGCAAAGTGCGTGGCATGGTGGGCAAGCTGTTTAAGGTGTCTGATATGGCAAACTCAATGGCCCTGGTGACCGCAGCAGGCGGCAATGTAAGTGATTCCTGTTCCTGCTTTTGTTCTTTTGTTACTATAACTTTACCCCCCCAGTTGTACAGCTTTGTGACGGATGATGATGTGACCAGCAAGATGATTCTGCAGCGTGGCAATTTGCAGCGACGCGTCACCCTGATGCCCATCAACAAGATTTCGCAACATGCGCTGAGCAGGAACGTGGTGGAGTATGCCCAGAACAAGGTTGGAGCAGAGAATGTACAGTGGGCCTTGTCGCTTGTGGAGTACGAGCGCTACTACGAGCCAGTTATGAAGTTTTGCTTTGGCAGCATTCTCATCTGCAAGGATTTGGAAGTGGCCAAGCAGGTGGGTTGATGGATAAATTATCATCAGAGATGTTCTTCAAGATTATATTATCATTTGATTGGCAGATAAGCTACGATAAGCGCATTAATTGCCGTTCGGTGACATTGGAAGGCGATCTGGTGGATCCACATGGCACTGTGTCGGGCGGTGCTGCGCCCAAGGGAGCAAATGTCCTGGAGGAATTGTACTCCATACGCGAATTGGAAAACGAATACAAGCAAATCGACATAGAGGTGCAGCGTGTGCAGCAGGAAATGGCGTATGTCTAGACAAAGCATCAACAATCCAGCCAGCCTTTAATACTGATTTCCTTTACAGTTCCATTGAGAACGTGGCCCATTCGTACAACAAGATAAAGGAGAACCTTGATATGCGCCAGCATGAGCTTACAAATTGCAAGAATCGTCTGGCCCAGACCACATTTCAGCAGAACCAGGCCGAGATCGAGGAGATGAAGGAGAAGGTTCAGACCCTCGAGCAGCAGAATGCTGATTCACGCGAGAAGCAGAAGAGTTCGCAGGCCAAGATCAAGGATATCGAAGCAAAGTTAGCCGATGCCAAGGGCTATCGCGAGCGTGAGCTCAAGTCGGCCACCAACGAGGTGAAGGAGACCAAGCAGAGGGCGGAAAAGTCGCGTGCCAATTGGAAGAAGCGGGAGCAGGAGTTCGAGACGCTGCAGCTGGAGATCACGGAGCTGCAAAAGACCATAGAAACCTCCAAGCAGGAGCACCAGGCCATGGTCGAAAATCTCGAAAAGTTCATCGCCGATCTGGCCGCTCTGCAGGCGAAGAGCTCCAGTGCCGAGTCCGAGGTGGCGGCCCTCGAGCAGGGCATCAAAGCGCAAAAGGACAAGCTGCATGCCCAGAACAAGGAGATGCGCAATTTGATGGTGAAGCGGGATAAGATGGAGAAACAGAACCAGGAACTCGAACTGGAGGTGAAGAAGAAGGAGAATGACAAGAACAAAGCGGGCTCCCAGACCAAGGATGCCAAGAGGCGCATTGAGGATCTAGAGGTAAAGTATCCCTGGATACCAGAGGACAAGGGGGCCTTTGGTGTCAAGAACACCCGCTACGACTACAGCAAGGCGGACCCAGTTGAGGCTGGCAGAAAGCTGGCAAAGATTAAGGAGAAGACGGACAAAATGGAGCGTACGCTGAACATGAATGCCATCGCGATTCTGAAGCGAGAGCAGGAGAACTACGACGAGACACAGCGTCGCCGTAATATTGTGGCCATGGACAAGGAGAAGATCAAGAAAATCATTGTGAAAATGGACGAAGAGGAGCAGAGTCAGCTGAATCGCGCTGCCACCGAGGTGAACGATAACTTCAGTGGCATTTTCAGCAGCCTGCTGCCCGGCGCGGAAGCGTGTCTCAAACCCGTTCTGACCAACGGCTGCCTGACAGGCCTCGAGATCAAGGTCGGCTTCAATGGCACATGGAAGGAGAGTCTCGGCGAGCTGTCTGGTGGCCAAAAGTCTCTGGTGGCGCTGTCCCTGGTCCTGGCCATGCTGAAGTTCTCGCCAGCGCCCCTCTATATATTGGACGAGGTGGACGCCGCCCTGGATATGTCGCACACCCAGAACATTGGCAGCATGCTGAAGACGCACTTTACCAACTCTCAGTTCCTGATTGTCTCCCTCAAGGATGGCCTATTCAATCATGCCAATGTGCTGTTCCGCACGCTATTCGAGGAGGGTGTCTCCACCATCTCGCGCCAGGTCAGCAGATCGGCCGTCGGCAACACTCGTTAAACATTTGCATTCTCATTTCTCATGCTTGGGAATAATTATATCTCCGCTGCATGCCACGAGATTAATTGATTATTTATTAATTCATGTACATACCACATACGTTTTGCACATAAATAAACAATTATTAGTTGTAAACTTAGCATAATAAACAAGGAAAAGCAGCAACTTCCCATTCAAATATCGTAACGGACTTTTCGCACAGGGTTGTATGGCAGCAAACGTCAAACTGACTGACCGACAGAGACGAAGCGACTGACTGACTTATGCGGTGCACGTGCAAAAGCGAGACGGAACGTTTGGTGAGACCGTCAAACACACACACAAACGCATGCACAGATGTGCGTGAAAGAAGAGGAAGCAGCAACTCGAAGAGCAGCACAACACTACACAACAATGTATTTGGGGGAGCTGAAAAATTGACTAAAATTCCACACAAATTTGTGTAAGAACTAAAGAGCGGCCGTTGCAAAAACAAATATTCAAGATTTCGAACAAACGCAGATTCCTCCACAGGCTCACAATGGTAAATATGCCGCAGCAAATCCTTAATTTCAATGCAAATCGCATTGCAGTCGAACAAAAAAAAATGTACATACAGACACCGCTGGCATTTGCCATTTACAGCCACACACAGAGAGCATAGACAACAATCAAGCGATGTGATGTGACAGCAGCAATTGTGTAGAGAGGAATTAATATTTCTTTGATCTTCTTTTGGTTCTAGGATCGTGTGACGAAGCCGCAGAAGAAAATGCTCATCACGCTGCTGCGGGAGACAAAGTACATGGAGGGCAAGAAGGAGAAGGAGTGGTACTGGGAGAAGATCCAAGCGGCGCTGAACACCATCGGCCCCAAAAAGACCATCATACAATGGAAGAAGGTTAGTGGATTGACGCCTCCAGGCTGCAGCTCAAATAATCTGTTTCGATTCTTCCTTTGCAGTGCTGGAGAGACATGCGGCTGACCACGCGCAAGAAACTGGCGGAGCTGAAGCGCTGTCAGCTGTCCGGGGGTTCGCCCCCGCCTGGGATTGAGCTTAACCAGGAGGACAACGACATCATCGACATTGTGGGCACGGAGTATTTTTACGAGGAGATGAACGGAGAGCTGAAGCCTGAGAACTTTATGTCCGGGTTCGACTATGCGCCCGAGCATCTCTGTGACGCCATTCTGACGGCGGCCGTGGGGCACCACCAGCAGCACATGCAGCACCAGAAGGATCCCCAGTCGCATGCGGTGCAGCAGTCGCAGGATCATCACACCAACGATGGGGAGACGAGCGATGCGCCGGGCTCATCGAACGGTGGCTCATATCAGGGTCAGGGTGTGGCACAGCTGCAGCCGCACAATGGAGCTGGAGGGGAGCACGGCAGCGGGTCCCAGGCGCACCCGGGATTGCCCCAACATCCGGCCTTCCATGGCAGTCTGCATCCACATCTGCTGCGGCGTCAGGCGGGCAGTACGCCGCTGCCCCGAGAGACGCCGTTCGAGGAGAAGCTGCTGCAGTTCATGCAGGATGCGTTCCCCAAGAAGAGCAAGAAGCGCAAGCAACGCGATCCTGACAAGCTCTTCCTGCTCTCGCTCTACGAGGAGATCAAGCGAGTGCCAGAGGAGATACGGCTTGACGTCAAGTCCGAACTAATGCAGATCCTGAAGAAGTACCAGAAGAAGTCCCCTGTCAAGGCGGAGAAATCGTCGGCCTCCTCCACATCCACGTCCTCGAAGCAGAGCACCAGCAGCAGCAGCGGCAGTGGCAGCTCCGTGACCGCACACCTTTCGCACAGCATGTACCAGCTGCAGAAGAAGTACGAAAAGGGCGAGCGGGAATCCTCGCCCCAGTCGCAGGTGGAGCGAGTCTCTGCTGCGTCGGCCGTGTCCCTGCACGTGCCACAGCAGCTGCCGCTCTTTCAGCTGCAGAAGAAGTACGAGGAGAGCGTCGTCGAGAAGGCGCACCAGCAGCAACAGCAGCAGAGCGAGCAGCGCAAGCATGTGGAGGCGCATCAGCAGCAGCATGCGGCCCACCAGCAGCCGCCGCCGCCACCGCCCAACGAGCAGCACCTGCACCACCCGCAGATGGCCCACAACATTATGTTTCCGCTGGCGCAGCTGCGCAATGAGCAGCAGCCGCCCACGCAGCAGCACCATGCCCACAATCCACACCAGCAGCAGCAGCAACAACAGCAGCAGCAGCAGCATCCCCACCAGCAGCAGCAGTCCCAGCAGCAGCAGCAGCAACAGCAGCATCACCCGCCAACGATCTTTGGCTCGGCCGCCAGCACAGCTGCAATGAGCGCCGAGCGCCCGGCCATGTCCTACGAGAATGTCGGATGAGTGTTGAGCCGTCTGTGGGAAGCCACTTGCGTGGCACCACGCCCCACGACGGCGTCACCCACGACGGCCGACACGCAGCCCCACTGTTAGTCCCAGTTCCCAGCTGCCACGACCCACATCGTACTCCACTCGTATTCGTCTAATCCCCGCATGCTAGCCTATGCCTAAGCACGATCTACATTGTCGGAATGTAGAGCCATGATATGATCAGATCCTCATGTAAATGTTCCAGTGGCAATATTGAAGACCGAACAGCGTGACACGTGAATTTATCTCGATGTATACACAAAATGCAATAACTCAAATACAACTTGTCTGTATGTTTAGATCGTATAAGGAATGGCCACTGTATCTCTGCGCTGGACTTTGCGGCTGGGTCATTAATCCTTCTGCTGGCTGATCCATTAAACTGTCACCTGGAATGACTGGGAGTACGCCTGTCTGTAGTCACAGCATGAGCACGCCATGCCATAAAGCTGACTGATCTGCTCGAAATGAGAGCTCTATCTGGCCCCCAATCGCATGCGAGATGAGCGAGATCCACGAGCAGAGCTGCAGCATAAACCGAACGATGAACGGCGAGCGGTTATCAGTGATGTGCGGCCTGTGTGGGTGTGTGGCAGACACTCGAACCCAAATGCGGGGGGTTTCTGCTGAGCATTCTAGTCTGGCAATCGGCCGCATCGGTTCGTTGTCGCTGCGATCTCACACCGATTAGATCCTGTACATTTCGGGCATGAGGGAATCGTGCAAGATCCTCAAGTGCAAGATCCGCTGATTAAGTAAACGAAGCAACACACCCGCCATGGCTGAAGGTACTTTTTGGTGGGGAAAGGGTGTTCCAGATCAAGTTCATCTTAGGATCTGGCTCAAGATCCGCCACCGATGCAAACCACAAGCCACCAAGCCATGTTGTGCGGCTTCGCATTTCATGTTCTATGAAGCTCATTCGCGCTCTCTGCTCTGCTCTTACAGTCGAGGCCCGCACTGTGCTGTGGTACATGACGTTCATGGGCTTCATTGTGAACTACATGATACGCATCAATCTGAACATCACCATTGTGGACATGATTGCCGGCAAAGGTGAGGCGCCAGTGCCCCTCAATCAGTCCCTCGATCATCTGCTGGTGGCTGCCTCCAATGCATCGGACTTTGCCTCTCTTCCGGCTGTCAGCGAGAGGTTCACACTGGAGCGTTGGTTTCTTGATTGGGCTAATGTGAGTATGTGAATCACATGTTAAGTGGTTAATGGATGCAGCTTGTGCGGAGACTGCGTATGGCGGGCGTATGAGTAATGCAATCTCTTTGCACAGATCGGGTACGATCGCGAGGGCTTCCACTGGAACGAGAAGCAGCAAGGCGCTCTGTTGGGCTCCTTCTTCTGGGCACACTGGACGCTGCAGATACCCGGCGGCATCCTGGCCACCAAATACGGCACCAAACTGATCTTTGGCTGGTCAAATGGCATCGGCGTCTTCTGCTGCTTCCTCATACCGATTGTCTCCTACTGGAGCTACACGGGACTCATTTGTCTGCGCGTCTTCCAGGGCTGGATAACTGTAAGTGGGGGAGAGATTTTCCGGATCTGAAATGCTGACCGTTACCCCTTTTTTATTTAGGGCTTGGCCTGGCCATCGATGCATGTCCTGACCGCCAAATGGATACCGCCCAATGAGCGTAGCAAATTCGTCAGCGCCTACCTGGGCAGCTCGGTGGGTGTGGCGCTGTTTTATCCCATCTTTGGGTACATCATCGACTGGACCAGCTGGGAGTGGGTCTACTACATCTGCGGCGTTGTGGGCACCGTTTGGTTCATTGCCTGGCAGTTTCTCGTCTACGACACACCCGCCCAGCATCCCCGCATCGCGGATACGGAGCTCCGCTACATCGAAAAGTCACTGGGCGCCTCGGTGCAGAACAGCAGTCCGGGTCCAACGCCCTGGTTGGCCATTGCCACATCGCGGCCCGTCTGGCTGAATGTGGTGGCCCAGTGGGGCGGCATTTGGGGTCTGTTCACCCTGATGACGCATGCCCCGACATACTTCAGGTTGATCCATCACTGGAACATACGAGCGGTGAGTAAATGACGCACAGAGAGTGAGGAAGAGAGAGACAGTTTTACTTCTTTTTACAGACGGGCTTCCTGTCCGGCCTGCCGCACCTGATGCGAATGCTCTTCGCCTACGGCTTCTCCATTCTGGCCGACTATCTGCTGCGCACGGATCGCCTGAGTCGCACCAATGTCCGCAAGCTGGCGACCTTTATCTGTGAGTGTTCTGCGCAAGTATTCCGGAATTTATACTCTAGAAACTTCTTCTCCTGCAGGCTGTGGTGTCAAGGGTCTGGTGGTGCTGGCGTTGGCCTACTTTGGCTACAATGCAACGGCGGCGATTCTGCTGGTTACCCTGGCCACCATGTTCCATGGCGCAGTGTCCTCCGGGCCATTGGCCTCGATGGTGGATCTCTCACCCAACTATGCGGGCATTGTCCTGGGTGTGAGTGGCATGATTGGCGGCATGCCAGGCTTCATTTCACCACTGATTGTGGGTCATCTGACTCAAGGCAATGTAAGTGTACGCCTAAAGATTTTACTTTGATTTTCAATCCCGCTTTTTCGCCGCAGCAAAATATTGAAGCCTGGAAGAAGGTGTTTCTGCTGAGTTCCGCCATGCTGACTGGCAGTGGCATTCTGTACGTCCTGTTCTCGGAGTCCACGCTGCAGCCTTGGAACAGTGGCTGCCACGCGCTGCCCGATGCTGGACTCAAGGAGCTGCAGACCTTTGAGGCGAGGCTGGAGGATGAGGAGGAAAAGAAGCCACTCAACAAATCGAATGCCGATCATGTGGAGACGGACACAGAGTTGGAGACCAAAACAAAAGCCATTTAGCTCGGGCACGTCACTCATCTTTATGATCCGGTCCAGTCCGTCGACGCCTGATATGGGCTTATCGCTGTGCGAATTGGGGGAAATATTTGCGCATGGATTTGTGGCGAGTTTAGGTGTCTCCAACCTCCAGCTTTAAGCAAACTCGTAATAATAATAACACACATCACATACTCGTACATAACAAATGTATGTACATAGTCGTAAGATTAGTTCTTCCTACAACCCACACCCAAACGTGTGTGTCTGTCTGTCCAGTGTTTGTGTGGTGTAGCGTCGCTCGTAGTCAAATACACAAAATGGGAAAAGATTTATGGGCCCATGTTTAATTGCTCTACAACACCCCACCCGACAGCTAAAGCTGTAGCTGATTAGGGAGTTTGGGATCACTTGGCCACTGCATGACAATGTCTCTGAATAAATGTTGTCTGCAATTTCGGTAGCTTGCAGAGATTAGCGGAGTTTGAAGCTTCCAACGGGAGTAAGCCAGAGTGAAAGGTAGATAAAACTCCTTTTTGGATAGCAGAATCAGTCGTTGAATAAACTTCACATATTGTATCTATCTTGAGACTATCTCTTGTTTTGCCAGATAAATCAATTAGGTTATAAAATGTATGGTTGATTCTGTTGAAAAGTTTACAGATAAGATACCCAATCAAAGTCTTTAGACTAAGAACTGTTAGCCCCCGTATTTGCCTTTGGTCTGGCAGCATACTTTCAGACCTTCGACCCGCTTTGTGGCTAATGAGATCCAGACAGCCCTCGTCCACTTATAGATGGCTCAGTACTCAGTCCTAATGATTTGGCAAACTGAAGTTAATAATTGCAATTTAAATCAAAACTGATTGAACCGGAAAATCGTTTTCCCTTTTCGGTTTGCCATTTCTCTGTGCTCTGTGCTCTGTGCTCTCTGTTCTCATTACTCTTACCACACGTTGCACAATTGGAAGTTCCACAGAGCAAGACAGTCGGCGTGTCAGAGTAAGAGGAGTGGGCAACCTTTTGGTGGGCTGAAGCCGTGGTCTTTGGCTTTTTTACGTGCTTGCATTTGTTTCATTGGCGTCCATTTCCGATTGCACTCCAGGGAGTCGTAGATGTCAGTTCCCCTTCGACGTCGACTTCGGACCCTTCTCCCGAACACTTTACGTCTGTGTCCATTCCGGGTGTGTCTGCTAAGCCAGTCAATGTCTTGTCACTTGATCCTTGGGCTTGAGTCCGGGGTCTGAGTCAAGGCATTGATAGAGATTAATTGGGTTCCCGTTACATTTACCATCGATAGGCTGCGAAAAAAAGTGAACCGAGAAGGAGTCCGATAACGAGATTACTTCGATGATTTGCCATCATCGACTCTCCTGCTTGGCATTCCGCTGGAAATGTGAGCTTTAAATAAAGGGAAGGGCACTTTGATTATTTATTCATATCAGAAATAATCGCTTATTTAATCACATATCTGGGGGTGCTGCCAAATGCTTATTGAATGTGAAATGTGTTTAAGCAGATTCCCTTACATTTTACCTTACTTGTATCCCATTCCTTTCAATGCCATTTGCATTATCGCAGATCCCCGTAGAGTGGAGCGTGAGTTCTGGTCTCCTTCCACCTCTGATGCCAAGCAAAAGTCATCCTCCAAAACATTGCGTACATAAAAAATGTAGCACGGATTTTGCCAAACTCCAACAGAGTAGGAGAAATTCCGCCGGAACTGAAGCCACGCAAATTTATGCTCATTCCCCCAACGAGGTAAAAAAAAAAAAAAAAACAAAGCATGCAAAAAAGAAACAAGAGAGCAAAAAAAAATATTCCCTGGCAGGAAGTAAATTCAATCGTAAACAACGCAATCAAAAATTCATTCAAACGAAGCATTAACGCTTATTCCGTTTAGTCTGTTGAGTGGGTGGAGAGGCGGTGGCTGGTGGTGGTGGCACGTTGGTTGTCTCATTGTCAGGCAAGTGCAACAGGGTGACGGCCGCCGCGGCTCTAAAGAGAACCTGAACTGTCTGCTTCTATTTACTTTTTTTAATTTTCAATTTTTTCCTGCGTTCAGCTGCAGTACCCTGTACTCGGGGAACATCAGGGTATATTAACTTGACCTTTGGACTCATACAATATAAATAAATTCTGCAAGCTCCTGGGCTATTCGAGACTTTCAAAGCAAGAGGAACCAAGTAATGTGGGAATTTTCTGACAGGTGTAGGCAGTTAATTTGTTTTTATTTCAAGATTTATAGATGAAGTTTCACAGCCTCTCAACTTTGCATGTCCTTTCCATAGATTTATTAATAAGCCAGAAATAAAACAAAAATATTGACTTTTACTTCCTTAGAGACTGAAAGAAAAGTCTTTCAGAATTTCACGCAAAGTTTTCTCTGAAGCACCAGGTACCCCATTGTCGAGGCACTCGATAACTTGGTTTATTTTTTTGGTACTTAGGCAGGTACATTTATTATGTGGGCACGGGCTCAGGAACTGGCACTGGCACAGGAACTGAAGTAAAATGTTTGCAGTTCCGGGCACGTCGCTTCATAATTTTCCATTTCCATCTGTTAAATGGGGAAAGAGCCATGAGAAGCCGCGAATAAATTTGTGGGCGTACTGCTCAGCTCCCCACCCAGACACACACACACACACACATGTGGCAGGAGGCATGTAGATACACTCCACGTGCGGAACACCGAACAATGGGCATGGATAAGTATCCGCGGCAATAAATTTAATTTGCACAGCGAAAACATCGCAAATCCATTTTTTATACCATAAATTCCTTCAGTCCCCAGTGACTGCATTCGGGTTCAGTTCATCCGCCATCCTCTCCCTTCACGTTGTTTCTGTTGCTGTTGCTGTTGCTCTTCTGTTCTGTTTAAGGAACGGATTAATGGATGTGCGAACATGCATATAAAGATGAACAAAGCGCCAGAGCACTGACAGGGTCTTCGGGGTGGGAGGTGGCTTTTCAATTTGAAAACTGTTAGACTCTGACTTAGATATACGATAGATAGATACGGTTCCAGCATTGTGTGAAAAATTCTAAGGAAAACAGCACTTGGAGGGTACTGAAATGATATTGGAATCGTTCTCTTAGCAGTATGTTTAAAATAAATTGAGTGCTGATAGTCTAGAAGAGTCACAAAAGTTCCTTTGAAATAAACTTTTATCTAAATTGTAATCCGGCGATTATAGAAAACTTTTACCAGTGACTGGTGCCACATTTTAGAAGTCTTTAATCAGTTGAAATCTTCCATTTTCAGATTAAATTCAACTACTCCTCAACATAATCGATTGATTGTCTGTTACCTGATAAACTAAATTACCGGAAATAGCCATTCCTACGCCTTGGACTCTGTTCTTGGCCTGAACTTGCCAATTAGCATCAAATATTCAGATCTGACCAGCGCGTGGACCGAGTACATATAATCTTTAATTTACACTTGATGCTCGACCCAGACATCTGTCTTGATGTGTGCACCCACCCACCCACCCACCACCACACACCCCACACCTCACTGCAACCACTCGGCCCAGTCACTCAATCATAAATATTATTAATAATGTGTGCGCTCGGCTTGTGGTCTCGTGGAGTTCGGAGTGGAGTTCTTGGTCTTTGCAGCAGAATGCCTTTGGGCTAATTTATTTAGTTTTGAGGCCAGCAAAAGTGAACTTTGGCAGCCCAAAAACTTTCCACCCAGTCCATGTCCGATGGGGATTAGAGGAGGGAGCCTGTGCTGGCAAAGTTTCTGTTTGAATTGGCTAAAACTACAATTTTGCAGCGCGGAAAACTTTACTTCGAGCATTCGAGTGATGTTTGCTCATGTGAGTAGAGTATCTCCCAAAACCCACATCCGTGGCACATCTCATCTTAAATATGAAAGCCACTTAGCGCAATTTCTCTGCGCTGGAACCAAATTAAAGTTGTCACATTAGGTAAATGAACGAGGAGTACAGAGAGATGGCAGGAAAGGAGTCCTTTGCGGAGAGTGTCAGTTGAAAGCATCGCTCCTCGTTTTAATCTTGAAGAAATAACTTTGGCGTCGGCGATGATAAATCATAAGCAGACCCTGCCTCCCACCCGCCCAAAAAAAAAACACAAACAGGGGAAAAAACCACACAAACAAAAGGAGGCAGGACCAGCCAGGACACACCGCACAGCACAGGCAGACCCAGACCCAGGGCCAGGACAGACAGATAGACAGCCAGCCAGCCAGCCAGTCATTGGGGAGCAGGGGCCACAACAATATGTGAATATGTTATTTGTTCGGGGAATTGTGAAAATCTCAACAGGTCCCCGCACTTTGCATATTATTTTTAATACGCAGGACAGGACAGCAAGTCGAGCATCTCACTTCGCTTCAGTTCCTCGGCGTTCGGTTCGGTTCGGTCTGGTCTGGTTTGGGGGTCGTCTCAGGTCAGAGTTAGCCAATTTTGAGGGTCCGGATTGTGGCTGTGCGGCTAGCCACAAGCACATTTGGATACTCGTATTTGCCAAGATATTAAGGAAACAGCCACATTTGACAATGCGTGTCAGGCCCATCCTCCTTGTGGCATTCCCTTCATTTTGGCCATGAATCATATATTGTAAATATTTGCATATATTTATGTAGTATGTAGGCAGATACATACATATGTATATTTGCATTTGTAGAAATGTATTTATGTATGTCGATATCTGATGGTTATTTAGTTCTTAATTTAAAGACATTGGAAGAAAAATATTCTCTGCAGATAACACAAAACACTTGCTCAGGAATTTTGGTATTGATTGTTGTATGCTTAAAATTAACGTTCCCGAATGTAGCTATCAGTCAGAAATATCCAGGAAAACTAAATCAAACCCGACAACAGGCGGCCATCACCAAAAACTTTCGATGAGGAGAAGAGCACCAAAATTCCATTGCGAGAAAAAAGACAACTGTCAAATTTCAATAAGAAAGCAATAAGGAAGAAGAGCAAAAAGAGCGCATCGATGAGAGAGCCGTCTTAACCTCCACCACCGTTACACTCACACCAGCAAGTATCAGTTCGATCACCCTTCTATGTAAGAGAGAGAGAGAGAGAGAAACAGTTGCAAAAACAATTGCACATTTCCAACAAGAATGTGAGAGCAATTAGGAAGAGGAACAGAAGGAGAGCATGGAAAATTTGCATTGAGAGCCGCTCTACGCAGATTTATTTTTTCCACCGGTCTAAGTGTGCGTTTCCGCGTTATAGTACGTGAAAATCCGAGAAATGGCCAAAAATCATACGTAAGAAAGTGTCCAGGTGCTGTGCAGTGAAGTGAAGAAGTGAACTAACATGAAATATATCCCATATTGTTGCTGAAG